TTACTCTCAATATCTGTAATCCCCCTAAACGTTAAACAACTTATTGTGTCCCCTTGAGAGGGATAAAACTGTAATTCCTCTCAATTAAACTTGTTTAAACCATATAGCATGAACTAATAGAATATTCAGTTCTCTTGTATTCATTGTAAACTCCTATATTTACACATACACTCAGCTAAATGACTGTATGTACAAAATTACCTTAATAATCCTTATTAATCTTAAGTTAGTCTTAAGTTTGCCCGAAATGCTCTATATATATAGAAGCTTTCGGCATGTACACCCAAATGCCGTTCTTCTTTGTAGGCTGAAATAAACATTATTATTATTATTATTATTATTATTATTATTATTATTATTATTATTATTATTATTATTATTGTTATTATTATTATCATCATCATCATTAGTAGTAGTATTAATATGGCACCTACACCTGCTCAAGCACATCATGAAATTAAAGTGCAGAGATTTCTATCAAGACTAGTCCGGAGCTAAGGGGTATGTCCTATGAGGCTCGAGGCTCTTTAACCAGAGGTTTGGTAAGTGAGGGAGGAAGAAGGATGGGTAAGGATGGAATGTGGAAAATGGATAAGTGGGGTGAGGAGAGGGTTAATAATAAAGGTAAGTGGCCCAGCCATTTTGGTGCATATTAATAAAGTGTGTGCTGTGTTATTCATGATATTCATGAGGCATACCACATCACCCATCAGAGGCATACATGTATACAAGCTGAATGAAAACATGACCGTGAATTGGCAGTAGGTACAGTTTTGCTATTACCTTTTTTTTTTTTTTTTACACAGGAGGCAAGTTGTTCGGGTTGGTTACAAGGGGCTTGCTGGAGCTGGTAGTCGGCTGATCTGGTCCTGAGGCGGTGTCCTGCCATAGGACGTTTCAAGATGTTACTTATGTGGAAAATACTGTATATTTTCCGGAAATACGGTAATTTATAGGTAAATAGATGGCCTATATTGTATTTAATAAAAGTGTACTTTTAAAAAGAGGACAGTCGCCATTTTGTTTGAATTGAACAACAGACGTTGTGAATAATGGGAAGAATTTTTCGTGCTCTAGAGGTTAAAATTGGGCTGACACCTCTCAAATAGGAGGCGAAATTGTTGGATGTGCATTCCTGCATAACTTGAGATATCAGGCGACTGGACAAGACAGCTCCAGGAACCTCAGATAAGTCTGTTATGTTATAACTCTGGCCAGTTGTTATTTTCATGTATAGACAGAGGTTTTCTGAGTATGATACACCTTGATTCACAGTTAAATTGGTGAGTGATTTTTAAGATATTCTCCTTCTGTTATGTATATGTGTATCTATAATCATTTATTATTTTTAATATACAGTCCACAAATTTATATATTTACCAGTATTCCTGGAGATGTATAATTCATTTAATTAATAGGTCCAGAGCAACTTGTGGATATGACAGTGGTAGGTATCGAAGGGGGACATTTTTTTGCGACCTAGGTGTTCCAAATTCCTACTTGCCTAACTAATAAATAATAATTATCTGTTCATTTACTGTTATGTGTATAATGATACATTCAGATAAATGCAATTTTCCACAACTTATTTAGATGTAAGGTATCCACAGTAAGGGTGGTTTTACCTGACTTGAACGTACATTGGCTCAGGTGATATCCATTTTTTCTAAATATTCAGGAAGATCGCGCAAAATCTTTGGTCATGTGAAGTCCTCCTTGTGAATCACACGTCGGACTCCTTGTTGGAGGGACATCCTGTGGGACCTATGGGGGAGGGATGTCGATGATGTAGTGGTGTTGGTTGGGGTGGGTTTTCTCTGCTTGGTATATAGAGTTCTTGCATGGCATATAATTGTCGCTTCTTTAGTTTGTCCAGCCTGACATTTATTGCGTCGATCTCCTGTTGGATGTGCAGATCTTCCAATCTGACTCTGTCCCTCAGTCTGGTGCCTGTGATGAGGCGAAGTGCCTTGTTCTAGACTCTTTGCATCTGCAGTATGTTACTTATCGTTGTTACTGACATGGGCATGCAAGGATTTTTAAGCATAAATCTAGTCATCACCATATATAGATGCTTCTTGATATGAGAGGGGGGCCTCATTAAACTTGTATAGCTGCCTAAGGCGGGCATTTGCCAAGTTACTTTTTTGGTGACGTGTGATGTGGAGTGGAGTAATCTGTCGATCTTGTAGCCCAGGATCTTATTTGGGTTTATGATGGTGATATGTTTACCTCTGATGGAGATACCTCCGTTGTTGTCAATTGTTGAGTCATAACATCCGATGGTGGGGATGAGGACCTTGTCCAAGATTGGTCGTGTTTTCCCCCATTTCTTCTCCCAGCTGGTGTTCTTCGTAACTCCGTGTTCATTGTTTCTATCATCCTTTCGTGCTTGTTCTTTCCAGATGCAGGGGTGGATGATACAACATGGATAACATCATCAGCAAATTGGGTAAGGATGATGTCGTTATATTCGGGTTGGGGGAGGTCACCTACATGAATGTTAAAGAGAATATGAGGAGGGGTTAAGGAAACTAAACCCTGAAGACAAAGGACAAGGATGCTATGGTAACGACGTACAAATATTAAGGAGAATGTTGTAAAATATTTCTTCAGCTTTAGAGATGACAGGAAGTAGAATAATGTGGAGTGAAGTGGTAAAGGCGGGATCCATAAAATAGCTTAAAGAAGAGGAATGACAAGGCTCTTGAAGCGGAGAGAGTGGACCTTTTAGCGACCATAGAAGAGGCGGGGACCAGAAGTTGTGAATCGACCCCTGCAACCACATATAGGTAAGTAAAGACTACTACGCTTATGGTTCCCTTAACCCTGACAGTGGGAGGGCGGAAGTGCTGTTATCGTAAACCAGCCTGATGTGCTATAATACAGAGATGTATTAGAATTAATCGTCATCTGGGGTTCCACCATACTAAATGAACTGTGCCATACTTGTTGTCCCAAACTTTTGGAAACTACAGCCTGGGGCAGTTTAACTGTAATTGATTCTCATTCCTCTTACTTGCATCAAATAGCCTGAGACCTAAATGTCGCATGATTGTGTATGAAACTAAGCACGGATTTGCACAATTATTAAGAAAGGCATTACAGTTTAGTTTCTGTGGATTCCCTCACACGGGCCTCCAGAGGCATGCCCAACTTAACCAAGCAAGCAAGCATTAAATAATATAATTTTGGTTTCAAAAAATAGAATATTTAAAAATATTGCCAGAAAAGAACTAGCAAACGAGTTTGAAGAGAGTTAAAAAATACATATAGGAACTAGCAGATCAAATGTCTATCACAATAAAATGTCAAGTTTAGCATGTTTAGGGAGACAGTAACAAAGTCAGTAGATAGCATGATGTGTGAGCTGTTATATGTGGATAACAGTGCTCTGCTAGTCTCAGGTGAAGAACCAGAATTAGCTAATTATATTAATTATTATTATTATTATTATTATTATTATTATTATTATTATTATTATTATTATTATTATTATTATTATACTATCACTGGAACTAGAATCCTGCAGTAAATGGTAGACAACTAACACGCTACACCTCAGGAAAAAGAAGCCACACACTTTGGAACGAAGAATAAACTGAAAAGGGAAATATTATTAATTTCCAGTGTAATGAGGACCCCATCACTTCAGCGTACTTTCAGCGAAATATCCGGGAATTCTCTTTATTCCAGTCATGTCAGGAGAATTGATAGTGAGCAACATATTAAAATAAAGCCAATGCCAGGTTAAAGTTTCTCTATAGACAGGCACAATGTGTATCTACTAAAGTTCACATGACCCTGTGTCTAGCTCTTAAACATTTTCTTGTAGATTATTCTTGTACTTTATAATGCTCTGATTTAACAACAAAAGGTGAAAGACAAGACTACAATTCCCCCAGAATAGAATGGTGAGATTCATCATGGGTCTAAGAGAGCAAGTAGGCCAGGATGAATTACAACTGAATATGCTGAATGTTAGACAGAGTAAAACAGTTGAAGTTAAATCATGTTTATAAAACTGCTCACAAGCAGTGTCCAGAATATGTTACTGCGAATATTGTCAAGGTTAGAAACCAAAACCAGTATGGTACAAGGGGAAATAAACACAGTTCTGTAGTACCTACAGTACGTGGAGTCTACCTGGAGGGTATTCCGGGGATCAACGCCCCTCGGCACCGGTCCACGACCAGGCCTCCCGGTGAAATCAGGGCTGATCAACCAAGCTGTTACTGCTGGTCGCACACAGTCCAACGTACGAACCACAGCCCAGCCAGGCCTTAAACACATTTTATTATACAACAATAAAGGAGTGGAACTGATTGACTGAACATGTGAAGGCCAGTCAGCATGAACCAGTGCAGGAAGAGAGCTGAGAGGTTCCTCATCAATAAAGCTACAGAAAGGAGTGACTTCTTGAATAGTGTACATCGTATGCTTATTATATTGACTATTCTCTACTTAATGTTCATGTAAGTTACTAAGTTCACTTTATTCCTATTGTACCTCTTTTTATTGTAGCTGATTTTGAGTTACTTAGTTGTTTTAAAAGTTATATTGCTAATACTAAGATATTAAGGACTCCAATGGAAACAAATCATTTTGACATTTTTCGGTAAGATAAGTTTGCAAAATGTTTCTACCTGTATATGTATTGTCTACATTCTTTCCTCACCTATATGTATTGTTATATTTTGCAAATAATTATCTATATTTGTATCTATCTGTGTTTACAAGGGACGCTGCCAGAAGTACTACCAATACAGTACGAGAGCTTGGGCTGCTTAACAATGTTGATATCTATGTATCTCTCAACTATATTATTAATTAATATCGAAATCTTACTTCCCAAAAAATAAGAAGGTTCTAAAATAAATTTCGTTTTCATGTTATTATATTAAACACTACCAAACTAAGAATAATGTGGGCTATATAATATTGTTTGTTACGACATGGCAGCTACTGAGAAACGTGTAGTGTGCGCGTGCCTGAGTAGCAGCCGCCCGGTGTACCAACCTCAGTCACTGAAGTAACTGTGTGTGTAGGTTATCAGTCGCTCCTCTCTGTTGTCCTCACTCGCTATTACTCCTTCCTCAACCACAACGTCAAGTCGCCGTGTTTCAGTGCTTTAGATACGAGTGTGGAGCCTATATAAGACTATTGAGAGTATTTCAAACGGCTTAGAAATACCATTTGAGATATATCTCACATTTAACCTTTTTAAAGTTTATTAACAAGGACTAGAGTTACGCCCAGTAAGTCTTGTAGCAAGGCTGACCTGTGTGGACTAACTGTTAAGCCCTACTAAGCTTCCCTCTAGGTACCCTCAAAGGTACCGGCGTAGGCCTGCTGCTAGGCCTCTCCTTCACCCCTCCGCCTCCCCATCCTTGCACACATCATGGATCAGGTTGGTCTAGCCATGCGAAGATTAGTAGTGCCCCTGGGTTGGCCATGCTTGAGCTATGCCCTGGGTCATGCCCATGCTGCCCCACTACGGGCCCATCTACAGTGCATGTCTCGTATCCTCCTCACTAGAGCTGTGGGGCCCCCAGCCTACACCGCAGCATGCCGCTACCTCATTACTTCTAGAGTAAGTGGTAGGTCTGCCGGGAAGATGCATATATTCCCGAAGTAGTGAATTACCTGCATCAGCCCGTGCTCACTGATCATGCATGTATTCTGTACATTTGTGTATGTTCTGTTCATGATACGCCTCCCCATCAAATAATATAGTTGCATTACGTTATATTTATTTCGGCGAGTCAGTTTCTGTACTGTCCGAGACCAAATATTCTTCTAGATTAAGCTAGGTTAGATTAGGCAGGGGGTAAGCTAGACTAGGCTAGGTTAGGTTATTTACAAAAAAAAAAAAGCACACCTCAGGGGAGGTTTCTTGACGCTGGTGAAGGGCTCTTGATCCAAGAAATTGTACATGTCCTCAACTTCCTAGGATCGAATATGATTGCCTCCCATTATCTAGACGCTGTATAGCATACGGGTTTAGAGCTTACCATTACTTCTATTAATACAGTATTTTCACGTATACACATGCAACCATGTGTATGCTAGACAAGTGTGTGGAGGGGTAAAACTTCGCTTTGTTGATAAGTTGTTGGAGCAAGGTTGCTAAGTTTAGGTTGCTAAGTGGGTTGCTGGGGGATGAGAAAATACATCATGATGACAAGTAAAGGAATTGCAGAAAAGTTTAATTTTACAATATTATTATACTTAATGGTCTTTCAAGTAGTGGGTGGCTTGGTGTCAGTGAAGGTATGTCGATCCACCTAATTGGAACTACGCTCATTCCTTGGGCACTGTACGACCCTTACACTGCCCCCTCAAAGGAGGTTTTTTGATGCTGGAGTGGAGCTCTTGATCTAAGGAATTGGACCAGTACCCCCCTCTTCCTTGAATCGAACCTGAATGCCTTCCATTTTTCCCCAGGCGTTGTATGACCCCAACGGTTTTAGCACTGCTCATGAATGTAATAATGATGTATGATCCGTGCGGATTTAACGCTTCCGAATGAATTTGATGTGGTTTATGTGAAGCAGTAAGCCGGCTGCGCTTAATTTTGATAATAATAATAACCGGCTACTAGTCAGCTCAAGTCGTGGTAAAGGCTCGAGAATTCGGCTGCTTAAGGCGAAGCAGACTATATTATTATTATTATTATTATTATTATTATTATTATTATTATTGGGAACGCTAAGTCCCGTACGTCATACACCGTCTGGAGAATGGGAGGCAATTAATTTTCAAGGAAGGGGAAGTCAGATTGAAATACTTGCTTCAAGAGCCCTTCCACCAGCTTCATGGAACCTCCCCAGAAGGGAACGGACAGTAAAGCACAGAGAAACTACATAGTCTAGAAGTTAGGCTGTATAGGCTTATTGTAACAAACTAACAAAGGTGGATTAAGTTGTAAACAGGTAAGTTATAAAGTACTTTAAAGCGAGCTATCAAGCACGTTGTGTTGCATGCGAATGTGGGTCCCTGTGTGTTGTATTATTAGAGGTGTGTGGTGAGCCTAGTGTGCCGACCACCAATAGGCTGTATCCTGAATCGACATATTTGTAGCTTTGACACCAGTTAAATTTTTGTTACTTACAGAATACACTCACAGTAATATTGGTCGCCAGATACTGGACATATCTACATTCTGTCTCGTTCGATCGATCGATACGATACACAAGGGTTTTTCAGGGTCAGATTAACAGTTCCTCTCTTTATTTACAAGCTAAGTGCTGTTATCTACATCAACTCATTTGAAAACCTTACCTAGCATTATTTTTATTAATTTTTTGTTATGGAATATACAAACTGGAAAGAGGATGAGGTTCAAGTTGGAGCCAGTTGAGGGCCAGAAATTTTATTTGGTTATTTTACTTTATTTCATCGACGTTATGCCGTACGAACATGTTCCGGATTCCAGTTATTATAAGAATGGATGATGTCAGATGAAGTGTTTTTGGGAAGTGTACAACCAGTGCAGTTGCTATTTGCTGTCCGTTTTGTGGTATAAAATTATCGTCTCGCTGCTCGCGAAGTGGAGCCAAGTGTGGTTGTAAATTGCATATTGCCGGGTACACACACACTCGCGTCTCCATTGTCGGAGTTCATAGGTTAGGTTTGGTGTTGAAGGTTCTATTAAACGGCAAATACATGTACATCGAGGCCCAGTCCAGGAATGGTTCGATTTCTTACTTTCTCTTTATATTATAAAAATTATATATATATATATATATATATATATATATATATATATATATATATATATTATTTTATACATGGTTTATATATTTTTAACAAGACGGCGTTCCCATCGAGGCAGGGTGACCCAAAAAAAAAGAAAATCCCAAAAAGAAAATACTTTCATCATTCAACACTTTCCCACCTCACTCACACATAATCACTGTTTTTGCAGAGGTGCTCGGGAATACAACAGTTTAGAAGCATATACGTATAAAGATACACAAAATATCCCTCCATCTGCCAATATCCCCAACCCCTCCTTTAAAGTGCAGGGATTGTACTTCCCATTTCCAGGACTCAAGTCCGGATATATATATTATATATATATATATATATATATATATATATATATATATATATATATATATATATATATATATATATATATTAAGAGAACCCTTGCTAAGCTGGATGCCCAGCCCGGGGGAAGCCCCGATCACTAGCAGCCAACAATACCCACAACCCAGCAAACCGCCCCCACGTTATCACCATCTATCCTTTGGAAGAATGGCAAGCTCTTAGCATGGGACTAAACTTGTGTGTGTTAATATATTATATATATATATATATATATATATATATATTACCTATCTCCAATACACCTATCTGATACCTATCTCCAATACACCAGGGAGGAAGGAGGGGCAGCTGCCAGCTTCAGGGAGTCCCAAAAGTCTAGAAAATATGGAGAACTTGCCCATCATTATATGTTTGTTCCCATAGGCTCAGAGACCCTTGGCTCATGGGGAAAGAGTGCATCTAATTTCCTTAAGGAGCTGGGAAAAAAAGACTCATCAGGGTAATGGGATCCCAGGGCAGCTAGTTTTCTGTTCCAGCGGCTCAGTGCGGCTGTTCAAAGGGGTAATGCTTGCTGCATTTTGGGCACACGCCCCAGCTCTGAGGAGCTGGATGAGATTTTCGCCTTATAATCGGTGATACACACGTAACAACATGTACCGTATATGCCACCTTTATATTAACAATGTATCTCTTAAATCTTCTGTGCCATATTATGTAATAAAATATTCCTATTGGTAAAAAAAAAAATAGTTTAAAAGATGGGGTGGTAGGGGAAGTGGAATATTCAAACGGCTTCAGGAAGAAAAACCAAATATTCCCCCTTGAAGCCTTTTTATCCACTTCTCCGAGGCTATGGGTCCCACAATTTACACCAGAGGTGGACCCCATCCTTTATATATTATATATAAATATAAATATATATATAAATTATATATTATATATATATATTTTTATATATTTTTTATTTACTGGGGTTTACCGGAGGAGTTTGGGGGGAAAAGCCCCCGGCCCCGGGCGGACCAGTCCTCCTGGTGGATCAGCGCCTGATCAAAACCCGGCTGTTGCTGCTGCTGCACGCAAACCAACGTACGAGCCACGCCCCGGTGTAGGAACTGACTTTAGGTCTTGTCCAGTGCCGCTTTTAAGCTGCCCGGGGTTTTGGTAATCCCCTTATGTTTTGCTGGGGAGGCAGTTTTCAGTCTCGGGCCCCCCGACATTATTTTTTGGTCTCTTAACGTGTAGTGACACCCTGCTTTTCATTGGGGGATGGTGATCGTTTTCCAAGTTTTTGCTTTTTAGTGGTGATTTTCTGTGCAAGTTTGGTATGCCCTTAGGATTTTCCAGGTGTATATAATATGTATCTCTCCCTCCCGCGTTCCAGGGAATACAGGTTTAGAAACCCCAAGCGTCCAGTAATTGAGGTTTTTATTCCGTTATGCGCGCGTGAAAGTTCTCTGTCTTTTTCTGGTCGGCAATTTCACCCGCCCCTTGAAAGGTGCTGTTAGAGTGCAGCAATATTCCGCCCAGATAGAACAAGTGACTGAAGAGTGTCATCATGGGCTTGGCCTCCCTAGTTTGAAGGTTTCATTATCATCCTGTATTTTTTAGCAGATGCGATTGATACAATGTTATGGGCCTTGAAGGTGAGATCCTCCGACATAACACTCCTAGGGGCTTTGCGTTGGTGTTTCGCTCTATTTTGTGGCCCGTTTGTTTGTATCTGATGAAGATTTAATTTTTATGTTTTCATATCTGGAATTTAAATTTCTCTTTGTTGAAACTTCATATTGTTTTCTGCAGCCCACTGAAAGATTTGGTTGATGTCCGCCTGGAGCCTTGCAGTGTCTGCAATGGAAGACACTGTCATGCAGATTCGGGTGTCATCTGCAAAGGAAGACACGGTGCTGTGGCTGACATCCTTGTCTATGTCGGATATGAGGATGAGGAACAAGATGGGAGCTAGTACTGTGCCTTGTGGGACAGAGCTTTTCACCGTAGCTGCCTCGGACTTTACTCTGTTGACGACTACTCTCTGTGTTCTGTTAGTGAGGAAATTATAGATCCATCGACCGACTTTTCCTGTTATTCCTTTAGCGCGCATTTTGTGCGCTATTACGCCATGGTCACACTTGTCGAAGGCTTTTGCAAAGTCTGTATATATTACATCTGCATTCTTTTTGTCTTCTAGTGCATTTAGGACCTTGTCGTAGTGATCCAGTAGTTGAGACAGACAGGAGCGACCTGTTCTAAAACCCATGTTGCCCTGGGTTGTGTAACTGATGGGTTTCTAGATGGGGGGTTTGATCTTGCTTCTTAGGACCCTTTCAAAGATTTTATGATATGGGATGTTAGTGCTATTGGTCTGTAGTTCTTTGCTGTTGCTTTACTGCCCCCTTTGTGGAGTGGGGCTATGTCTGTTGTTTTTAGTAATGAGGGACGACCCCGTGTCCATGCTCCCTCTCCATAGGATGGAAAAGGCTCGTGATAGGGGCTTCTTGCAGTTCTTGATGAACACAGAGTTCCATGAGTCTGGCC